TTGTGGTGAAGAGGAGGATTCGATTCATATATTTTTAAAATGCCATTTCACTAAACAAATTTGGGTCATCACGAGGGATACTATTCCAGCTCCTCCGGAGAATTGCAACTCGACTCTTGAGTGGTGGAACTCTCTGGATGATATTGCTCATCATACTAACATCCCATTTGTAAAGGAAAAATTTGCTGTCCTTCTATGGAAAATTTGGAAGAATCAAAACAACAAAACCTTCAATAGTAAGGCAATTCCTCCCCCCATTATCATTGATAGAGCAAAATATTCTTTTATGGAAGCTTTTACAATTTATGATAGTGGTCCAATGATGGAAAGAAAAAAAGTGGTCATTCCTATCAAATGAACTAAATCAAAAGTTGATGGCATCAAAATAAACTTTGATGTTTCATGCATAAACAACAAATGCACCCATTGATTGTGTGGCCAAAAATCACCTTGGCCATATTTTGGACTACAAAGCATATGGTATAGGAATCCCACAATCTTGCTCTCAACTTCATCGGAAGATCCATCATCATTGAAGGTGATTCAAAGTTAGTTATCGACTGTCTAAAGAACCAGGTTGACCCTCCATGGAGGCTGAAAAGGATCATTGATGGTTGCATGGCTCTAGTCGAGAGATTGGACGACACGGTGGAGTACGGTCACACCTTCCGGGAAGGGAACTGAGTTGCTGATTGGCTTGCTAATTGTGCTCACTCTAACCTTGCTTTTGTCTCTTCTTTGCCTTTCGCTTTAAAGTGTCTCTCTTGTGTTGACATTTGGGGTTGAGCTACCCCCCTCTATGTGTAGCTCCTTTTTGTTCTTTTGGTTTATATAAAAAAAAAAAGTTAATAAACATGAATGGGGCTAAAATATAAGTATGATAAAAATGGGGTCCAAATACACTTTTATTCAACCATTAAAGTAATTATTTAGTTTTAGTAACTTCTTCAAAGTGGTTTAGTGGAAACAACTGAATCAAAGCTAAAGCCCTCCCAAATAAGCCCTTAGTCATTTGAAGGGTTGTCTACTTCAACCTCTTCGAATAATTTATCTAGAGAATTTCAAAGCAAAGTGGTTAAAACTTGCCATGTGTAAAGAGTAGTGAGATGGAGAACCCATGGATCCATTTGGCTACCAAGTGCCCCATTGCCCCCACCCAACAAAATCCCACCGTTGTGAAACTCATGGTTTTCAAAATTGAACCAGAAAAAAATTGGGATTTGGTCAGGTAACCAGTTCCATTCACCGTAAAACTACTTTTTGGCCAAAAAACATTGGTTTGGTCAGTGACTCGTGAGTTAGGTGATCGAATCAGATAATTAGACCATTCTACCCAGGAATCGGTCCCCATAATAGTTCCCTATCTGGTCTGGTTTTAAAAACCTTGATGGAACTTGTAACATAATTTTAGCATTTCTTTTATTTATTATTTTCCACTCCCTCACCCTAAGAAACGAATCCCTGGCGATTGGCTCAATGGTTCACCCTTGCCAAAAAAAATTAATGAAAACTCTATTTTTTCCTATAATAGATGTAGTCCTCTTGTTCACCATCAAAATGAGGATTGGGAAAATCTATGATGCCAGAAAAGACATGATACAGGACAGGTTTTGACCAATCATGAATTTTGATGAAAATTCACCCAATTTGTTATTATTTTTATGATGTCAGTTGATTGGTTGTAAACTTTTAGACAGGTGCCCTTTTTTGAAAGCAACATTTTTTTTTGGCATTTGCAAAACAAGTGCCATACACCAATTATGTTCTTAGGATCCGTTTGGTTCATAGTTGGAATTGGAATCAAAATCCTTCGAAATTAGAATTAAAATGATCTATTCTCATAGTCTATTTGGTTCAAACAAGAATTAGAATGAAAGTTGGAATAAGCTGAAATGGAATTTCAAATGGGGAATGCCATTCCACCAAGAATGGGAGTGAAATTTTTATTCCGCCCAACCAAACAGTTGAAATCGAAATGGTCTGATTCTAGACCCCTATCCCACAACTAAATAGGTCCTTAGTGTACCTCACCGTATATGGTAAGTCCAAAGTATTGATATATAGTATGGTATGGCATGATTTGTACCAATTTTCAAGGTCACCAAAATGCCAAATATAGAAAAATCTATAATGCAAAAAAGACATAATACTTAAGAATTTGACAAATCAAATCCTTCCATGAATTTTGATGAAACCCACCTTATTAATTACCACTTTTATAAGAATGACTGATTGATTACAACTATAGAATTAGTATTTTTAATAGATTTAAGGGTTAATAATTTATAGATAAGTACGAACAGGCCCAATTAGGGATGCCAATTGGATTGGATTTAGTCCAATCCGGTCCAGTCCAATGTGAGTCCATTACAAATGGATCTGGTCCAATCTAGTCCAGTGAATATTTTGGACCATTTTGGACTGGTTCAGAGACTGTCCAATTTGTTCAAGTTCCCATTAATTTAGATTGGTTTCAACTCAAACCTGGTCCATTGACACCTATGTTCTTATTTTCTATCAATGGACCAGATATTGGTTCAATCCAATATAAATTCATTATGGATGGACCAAGTACAATCCAATATTTCATATTGGTCTGTCCAATTCGTCCAAATTCAATATGTCTTATTGGTTTGTCCAGTCATTCCAAATAGATTTTGATTTGGACGGAGTCCAACCCAAAACCGGTCCATTAACACCCCTAGGCCCAATGCAGATTTCTTATTTCCACTACAGAGCTATAAACATCCAAAATGTCAAAAACCCCCACTCTATACACCAATGCCCACTCATGAATTGACATCAATTCCGAGTTGACACCCACCCCAACTCTACTTTAGGTCTAAAAATTCTGACCCTGGGTTGAACGGTCATTTTCCCAATTATTTAGCCTTAGTTTGGAAAGAATATAAATAGAAATATATACAGTAAGAAATACAAATACAAATATGTAGTCTTGTATTTTGTATGTATTTATACTCTACCAATATGTATTTGTACTCTTTTTCAAACTGAGTTTAGCGTCAGCGGTGACATGAAAATTATAAATCTGAACAGTTCGCACAAAATCGCACCAGAGGGCTTTGACGGAATTCATAGTGCTAGAAGCCAAATCAATACAGAGCAGCCAGATTATTGTTCAGGAATCAGGAGTAAAAATAGCAGTCGAACAAACCGATCCTACCCCTCTATTTTCAACATCACAATTATCAATGGCCATAACCAGTCACTGCTGTAAAGATGACTTTTCACTGTAAAAGGACAAAATAGCTCCATCCCGCATCTGCCATTTTCATCAACCTTGCCAAAACTGGCTGCCCCGGTCAAATGTTGACTCCTTTAAATGCAAAGTCAAAGTAAAATTGAAATCTTTCCCTCCCTTGTCTTGATTTGATGAAGTGCATATTGAAGACAAGCAAATATAAATCCATAACTAATGTTCCATTCAGATACTGTGCCTTCCAACTTCCTTGTTCAATGAAGTTTTGCCACTTGGTTTAAAAAAAAATCCAATATTTTTAATTTTGGTATTAAAATTTTGGGTTAATTTCTTAAAGTACCCCAATGATTTATAGTTAATTGACTGATTATATATATCTTTACTATTTACATATTATCTTAAAGTATTCTTAAGTTTTTTTTTTTTTTATAATTGACATTGCTGTTAAATATTAATGGAAAAAATAAAATGTTGAATTTATCCTTCACAATTCTTCAATTTTTTAAATAAAACTCAATTCTTGAAAATTTTCAAGAAGATGATCATGTAACCGTTCTGCATCGAGGAGGAGAAAAAGGGAAGGAGATTCTTGTGAAAGAAACAAAGTATGGGTGGGAATAAATAAGGACTGCACCACCACAGTTAAAATAGCATTTTTAGAGGCTTCTCATAAATACAGAAACTGGGTTTCTTACAAACAAGGGAAAGCCTGGGGGGAAAACTTTGGTTGTATTGTGGATTCTGCATGTAACAAGCTATCAAAGTATGAATATAGTATTAGGCAAAAAGATAAATAAAGGACTGAATCAAGTAACCTGTCATGCGAAGGAAAAGCTCTCAAACAGCAATTTTTTTTTGTCAAACAGTCAAAGCTTCCCCGGAAAAGATGATGTAAGTAAGACAATTTAGTGATTGCTTTCAGAGACGAAGACACTTCAGGAAGGCAAGAAGTAATCGGCAATGGAGACTGATACCTTCTCAAGGTCAGATTGTTTCGCCTACTACTAGATCTAGAAGAGCACGTAACGCAGCTAGCTGGAAGTTGACAAAGTAGATGTAGAGAAGTGATTAGTGGACAGAGATTGCCATGGCTCCAGTTCTCTTTGCCTGGTGGCAGCGCTCAAATTCATTCTAAATAGTCCGTTTTGCTTCTTAGAAGCGGCCTAAGAAGGATTTTGTAGACTAAAACTTCTATTAAGAAATGGTGCACTAATCTTAGTCTTTTGTAACTAAAACCTCTACCGAAGAAGCGACCAAAGCAGGTTGCTTTTGTGACTCAATCATCTCTTTAAACATACGAGCCTCAACACTAATCTCAACCTTCTTTGCGTCATCTGCTTTTGCATTGTTCTTAGTCTTATTCTCCGTTCGGAACTCTCTCGCTGGAACTCTCACTTGTTGATTCAAACCTCTTTTTTCTGCTTCTTTTTGTACAAGAAGATGAACTAACTCATCACTCTTCTTTCTAGATAATTGTCACCGTCCGACGGAACACATTTCGACGCCTTGCTTACATCGAACCAAATACGACCCAAGAAGTGATTCAACTATTTGGATGTGATTTGAAAGCTTTATTTGTCTGATATTCACAGAAGACAACCCTTCGAATTTCGACGGAGGTAAAAGAATGTTTTAAAAATTTTTGAAAAATATATCAATCACAGGACAGTCACATGTGACGAAAAATTAAAGATAAGAGAAGTTTTAAACAATTGTTAGAAAAGTAAAAATAATATATAAATATTAAGAATAGAATTAATCAATTAGTTAAACATGCACATTTTAATTCCTTTTCGATTTCCAAAATGTTTCATACTTGTATCTCATTAATTCATACTTAACAACACAAACCTTGAAAATTCAGGAAAAAGCTGACCAAATGCATGTATCACTTTATAAATGAAACCCTAATAACAGCGAAAGGAAAGAAACAACCACCTTTAACCATGACCAATTAGACATATATACAAACAAATATTTGGGAGATGCTCGTCAATGGTCATCGCTGGGCACTCACTCAGTGGAGCTCAGCTCTTTTGGGACGTCTTGGCCTTCCTCTTTTCAAGGAAGAGAAACCCAAACAAGGAGAGCACGGAGAAAGCAGAGAAACAACCAGCGGCGACATCGAGGGACGCGTGGCGTCCGCTGATCCCTTGGATGTCAAACAGGTTGGTCTTCTTCTGACCGTCCGTGGATTGGCCAAAGGCCACCTCCCGGCCGTCCGAATTGTAAGCGTAAGCCCTCACGAAGTATGTCGCCGTGGGAACGTCTCTCTCGATCATCCAATCGAAGCTCTGCTGGGACGATGAGTTGTAAGGTCTGACAATGATTTGGAATTGGCAGGTCTTGTCTTTGCTCAGGTCATCGTTGGTTTTCCTCCACGCACGGTCTTGTTGGCTGATGGGTGCGTAACACAGCTTAACCTTCACCTGCTTGTACGCCTCGTCGGTCCCGACGGGGAAGCTCTGATTCATTCCCCACGTCACCGTTATTTTGTCGTCTCCGGCTCTCAACACTGCCAAATGCAAATAAATCAGACAGAATAGAGGCAAAATTAGAGGCACCCATCTCGGGAACTTCCATCATATATTATTTATTGGAGTTATATATGAGGATGAAGCCGATCTCCTTTTTTTTTTTTTTTCTGGGTCTGGGATAAAAGCCTGAAACGAGGAATAAGTATCGATCTTCCCAGATTTGTCGGGAACCAATCGATGAACAACATAATTGCATGATTTGGGGCGAGATTAGAAAGGGACATCAGGGGAGGTTGGTTAATTTGGGGCCGCCGTGATAAAGAACAACATCGACGGCAAACGTTAGTAGGGAAAAAAAGGAACATGCCGGAGAGACTAGAAAATTAAGGAGCAAAAGAATAAAAAATTCTGGGATTTGAGGACTTCTGATCTAATTGGTGTTTTGATCTGGTGGTTTATGGACAGTCCAATCATAAGATGGATAGCAGCCTGAACTCAATTAATTAATTAGGAATTTAAGATGGCATACGGCTTCATAACTCCACTAGACTGGCGCATGCCACAGGTCCAGAAAGAAGTGAAGGAAATAACGATCCATCGGTACGAGAAGTTAATAAACTAAACAGGCAAAATTAATAAACATACGGGAACAAACAGAAACAGTTTCATTTTTATTGGTTCAAAAAATTACAAAAAGACAAGTTTCGTCGAGTTACTCGAGTACCTTCTCCTTCTTTAGGTGAAGCACTGACGACGAGAGTTGGTTGAAGCGTGGAGAAAAGAACAGTTCCATAACAAGACTCTGCTAATAGGCAGAAAGTAAGAAGAGAGCCAGCTAGAAGACGAGGGGCCATCGGTAATTTCTCTAGTAAAGCACAAGCATAGAAGAGGAGAATTTATTACCAGGGAGATGGATAATGAAGATGATGACGACAAAAGAGATGCGTGGTCGATGACAAAGGAATGGGCGCTTGTATTGGCTTATATACAGATATTAAATCTAATGGATTTGATTGGTCAATTACATGAGAAATTGTATCTATACACTTGATTGAAAATTTAACCTTTTTCTTATAAAATTCAGTTTTGAACTTGTCCCATATTGAAAAATTATAAGATTTGTTTTCAGTATTTTAATAGGAGCTGATTCATACTCCTTAAAAATCATAAAGGAGAGTATGGGGATTTGATACCGTGCAATGCGTGCATGTGTGCAGTGCAATAAGGCGCATTTTGCTTGTACTTTTCGCGAAGGGCAGCTTTGGTTTTGGCGCGATGCTGAACGTTGATCACCGTTGATGAGATCAACAGTCACGATTCGATCGGGTGTGATCAAGAGGCACAATTCAAAGTTAACAGTCATTAACTGTTAACTACTTTTTAAACAGTCACAATTTCAAACATTGTGACTGTTCAAGGTGCCTTCTCTGAACCAGCACCTACATTTTCTTCATACCTCTTCATAAACTATTTAAGTAGCATGAATCATACTTCAAAAACACACATTTTCGAAATCCACTTTCTTTCTATCTCTCTCTCTCTCTCAGTCCGGTCTGCTACAATCTCACAGAAGGTTTTTGATGAAGGAGGATTTGGCCCAATCTCTTGGTAGGAAGACACGTGGACTTGATTCCGCGTAAGCGACAACTCGACGTAACCAGATCGGCACGTGGATGTGACTCGACACAAGTGACAACTCAGCATAAGTCAGCTCGGTACAAAGCAAGCTCGGGTACACCAGTACCCCGAACTGAAGTCACCTCGGGACGAACACACCGCACAAGATTACACTGGGATCACCTCGGCTAGAGGGCACTTTGGCATTTACGACAAGAGCAGACCAAAACGTGAGCTCGAGAAGCTCGCTACCGAGCAGCCTGGTATCCTACAGGTAGCTCGCCTACCATACATATCTCTGCATGGAAACCTCGGGGAATACACCCCCATCCCTGAACCCCGCAGGATCGTACTTATAACGGTAATATTAGTTCACCAACTCCCCGTTTTGACGGGAAGTGATAGTATTACCGTTTGGCGGCGCTTCCACCACCTAACACACGACAAGTCCCATCGTAACAGGGGTTCAGTGACTGTTCCACCTACCCACCTGAGCCAGTGTATAAAGACCCTACTCCCACCAGGGGCGAAGGTACGTTCAATTTTATTATTGTTGTACGTGTAATCTTCACTCTCTGATCTCTCTCATTGTTATCACCTTCAAGCTCTCCACTATCATAGTGTTCTAACTTATCCATCGGAGTATCCATGCTGGGTGAGCCACCCCGGGATCTCTGACTCATCTCTTTCAAGAACCCGTTCTCATCGTCACTGGAAGCCAAGTCATATCCAGCAGGGATTACCCGGATTACGCCACATCAATTGGCGCCGTCTGTGGGAAACTCTTACAAAAAGCCTTTCTATCCTCTTTCCGAGAACCAAAAGAACTCAAAAACCAGACCTATGGCTTCTTCCAGCAACAACGGACAGCACAGGGAAGTAAACACCTCCAGGGGGCAACCTCAGCCCCCAACTGTCTATATAGGCCAGTTCACCATACCGCTTCCCGCGGGTGGTATCCCAGCACCTGCTATGCCTCAACCATTTGGGCCTGTGAATGCCCCACTTCCCCTTGTAGTGGGCGCAACCTCCGTTGAACCGTCTGTAGTTCCCCTGGGAGTAGGACAAAACCAACTAAATGACCTGGTATACTGTGTACGGCCTATTCAAGACCAAATGCAGTAGGTCCAGCAGTACCAACAACAAGTTCTGCATCACATGTACCAGCAGCAGTTCCCACCGCTGCAGCAGAACCAGCAACCTACCCCACCTCAGTGTTCGATCACCCCTAGCAAGCCTCGCCGCCAAAGCGGCTGTCCTGACCGGGTGGAGACCTCCCAGGCCTCATCTCGCGGCAGAAGAGAAAGACAAGTCCCTCCCACCTCTCTTCAAGTAAGCAGGTCGAGAGATACTCGGCCCACCAGAATCAGTCCACCTCGGCCTTCACGACCCAAAGGCATTCTTGCTGGAAACCGGTTCAAAGTCCTAGCTGAGGACTCCAGGCAAGGCTTCTTAATCTGTAGTAGCCGGTAGTCCTAGTCACTCCCGACCAAAGCACCATCCGACGGTGCGGAGGTCAGCAGCACCGCTGTGGAACCAACCGAGCAGCGGCGAAGAAGGCATACCAAAGCGCCCATCCGACCTGAGTAGCCCAAAGGTAAAGCGGAGGCAAGCTCGGGAGTCACCAACACTGCTCCCCTCCTTTCCGTACCCTCTTCGCTATCCCCCGAGCTCCTGGCCTCCCCGATGCCAACGAAACCGGTTCGAAGTCCTAGCTGAGGACTCCAGGCAGGGCTTCTTAGTCCGTAGTAGCCGGTAATCCGAGTCACTCCTGACCAAAGCACCATCCGACGGTGCGGAGGTCAGCAGCACCGCTGCGGAACCAACCGAGCAGCGGCGAAGAAGACATACCAAAGTCCTAGCTGAGGACTCCAGGCAAGGCTTCTTAATCTGTAGTAGCCGGTAGTCCTAGTCACTCCTGACCAAAGCACCATCCGACGGTGCGGAGGTCAGCAGCACCGCTGCGGAACCAACCGAGCAGCGGCGAAGAAGACATACCAAAGCGCTCATCCAACCTGAGTAGCCCAAAGGTAAAGCGGAGGCAAGCTCGGGAGTCACCAACATTGCTCCCCTCCTTTCCGTACCCTCTCCGCTATCCCCCGAGCTCCTGGCCTCCCTGATGCCAACGAACTTCAGGGTCCCCCCTGGACAACTATGATGGGTCCTTTGACCCTAATGACCATGTAGATTCCTTTCAGTCCTAGATGCATCTCGCCGAGGCCGACGAGGCCTGCTTGTGCGTCGCCTTCTCCACAACCTTCAAAGGAGTAGCCCGCACTTGGTATAGAAACATTGCGCCTGGGACAGTTAAAAGCTGGGCGCAGCTCGCTCAGTTGTTCACCTCGTACTTTATCACCAGTAAGAAGTGCCCGAGGTCACAAGAGAGCCTTCTCAATATAGTTCAGAGGGAAGGGGAGTCAATCAGAAGCTACATCAAACGCTTCAACGACACTTGCCAGCTAATCCCGGACTTAGACCCGGCCATGAGACTTGCGGAAGCCAAAAAAGGGATTACTCACAGAGAATTTAAATGGCAAGTGGTGGCGAACAAACCCAAGGACATTACAGAGTTCCTTAAGCTCGCTAATCAATTCATTGGAACTGAGGAAGAGATGAACCAACGGACTGAAGCCCCAGCAGAGAAAAGAAAGAGGGAGGACCAAAGCTCGAGCAACGGTGGTGGAAAGAGAAAGAAAAGCAGGTCCCCTGTTAGGGGGAACAAGCCAAATTTCCACCCCCGAGCTCCCCCGATTGAAAGAACGAGCTTCACACCCCTCAACGCGAAGCGTGGGGAAATTCTCATGGCCATAAAGGACGCTTCCTTTGTGAAGTGGCCACCCAGGTTACGAAGCGACCCGACCCATAGAAATAAAAATGTATATTGTCATTTTCACAGAGACCACGATCATAGCACCGAAAACTGTAAAAACCTCTGCGACGAGATTGAAGAGCTCATTCGTCGCGGGTACCTGAGAAACTTTGTACAAAGAAATAATAAAGGCCAGACAGATCAACGAGGGGAACAAAAGAAAGATGCTCCTGAGTCCAGCAACAGACCGAATGAACAGCGACAACTGCATGAAGAGAGACCGGTTCGCGGGGTAATCAATACGATAACCGGCGGGTCGGTTGTTGCGGGTTGTTCCACAGTAGCAGGAAAGACTTCAGCCCGCGAGCTAGAACATGAAGGGCAGAACCCTCCAAAGCAGCCGCGAACCGAGGACCCTATATTCTTTACCGAGGATGACGCGCAGGATTTAGTACCCCCACGACGACGCGCTGGTCATAAGAATGAAGATCAACAACTTCGAAGTCAGGCACATCCTGGTAGATTTAGGGAGTTTGACCGATATCTTGTTCAAAAGCCCCTTCGACAAGCTACAGCTCCGGGAAAGTGACCTCTAGCCCACCAGTACTCCTCTAGTGGGCTTCAGTGGAGAAGAGGTCATACCCCTCGGACGAGTTTCCTTACCCGTGGAGATCGGTACGTGGCCCAACATCGTGAGGTTTGAGCATACCTTCCTAGTAGTCGCAACGCCCTCCCCGTACAACGCCATTGTAGGGCGCCCGTCACTCACGCGCTTCGCGCGATGGTATCTACTTACTACCTGGCCATGAAGTTCCCCACGGACATCGGAGTAGGGGTAGCTCAGGGCGATCAGCTCGAGTCCCGGAAGTGTTACGTCGCTGCTTTCAAAAGGAAAGGCAAACTGGCGAATGACCTCGAGTTAGAGCAACCTGTGGAGTACTTTGACGAGCGAGCTACGCCAACCGAAGGGACGATCCACATCCCAACCTCAGCGGAAGATCCGGCCAGAACTCTCCAGATCGGAGCCACGGTCAAAGAACCTCTTCGCTCTCGGCTGGTAAGTTTTTTACTTGAAAATTTAGATGTGTTTGCCTGGTCCGTAGCATAAATGCTCGGCATAGACGCTAAGGTTATAACTCACAAGTTGAACACTGATCCTTTAGTCAGGGCAGTTAGACAGAAAAAATGCAACGTAGCCCTGGAGCACTGGAAGATAGTCGATGGGGAGGTAGGGAAACTCCTCGCGGTCGATTTCATCAGGGAGGTCCACTACCTGAGCTCGGTGGCCAACCCCGTTCTGGTAAAAAAGGCCAACGGTAAATGGCGCATGTGCATCGATTACACCGACCTGAATCGAGCTTGCCCGAAGGATTGTTTCCCTCTCCCCAAGATCGATTATCTAGTGGATGCGACCACAGGGCACGAGTTGCTGAGTTTTCTGGACGCATACTTGGGCTATAACCAGATCAAGATGGACCCCGCCGACGAGGAAAAAATGGCATTTATAACCGAGCTAGGCCTGTACTGTTATAATGCC